TCAGTACAATGAGGTCTGACAACAGAGAATAACTGACATTTGGCACATCCCTGCTCGCATTCACAGTTCTCGACAGCGCTTCGGGCCTTATGCAATATATCCGATACTACAGAGTATGCTGAGCGTTCGCATTGCATCTGATGTCACTATTCCCATACCGTGCTCAAATGCTCTCGCTGCAATGCCATTCCTATGCCCTATTGGATCATACATGATCAATCTAGCAGGCCGCATTCGGCGAGACTCTTTCTTCAGATATTCCTTTTCTTCTGCTTTGCATTCCGTACGGATATCTGATGCTAGCGGAAACTGATTCAGGAAAGCATGTTCTGCGGAATGTATCGCGGCGGCTGGCTTGATGAACTTGTCGCGCAGCAGCTGTAACACAAAGTCGGGTACGTCTATCCACATTCCTACCGTTTCATGTATCCAAGGAGTTGAGTCCACGTCGACCACGTCCAGTATGACATTATGTCTATCTTGTATTAAACTCATCTCCTAACGCAGGCCAAATCTGACTAACCTCATCTTGTAGAAACCTGATTATTGACTTCATTAGTGAAATACCTAAGGGCTGAAAAAATCAAGAGTACCGAATACTTGACAGAATACCTCCACACCTGCATCATGAAATCAGCTATGTACGTCCAACACAGGAAATTGCTACTTACGTCCGTAGAAAGCACGTTGTGGGGTTGCTTTGATTTCGCGAATACGATATGTTTGTAGAGCGTTCACGTCTCTGAACCAGCATTGAGTAAGGTTTGTAGTTCGTCTATGACCAGAGAGAAAATTTACGTGAAATCTCTGTAAACAGGTTGTGAGTCTATGGATGTCGATTGACTAAGAATAAGACCAACGGACCGTTGTTTTGTGATCCAATTGACATCAGCCTGAATCAACTTCACAAGCTTCGTGTCATGGTGTATTTCCTGGACCTGTTCCTCCGATTAGGTTCACAAAACATTCTCCCCGGTCAGTGGAGAGTCACACTCACGATGAAAGGTTTTCCCTGATGTATGAACTACGAAACGATTAACCGATGATTTTGGTGAGAAGAGATCAAGTCGCACTACTCCTCCTTCATAGACTTCAAAGATGGCTCGAGATATCTCTATCTCTTCCAGTATTTTTGCTGACGTTACTGAATTTGACACGTCTATTAGGACATATCTATCCTCTTGTATGCCACCTGAAGAATCAACCGTGAAGGTCATTTAGAAGTATGATCGCAGACACAACGCTGAGACATACGAATGGAAATATGCTTTGAGGGTGATGGAAGATATTTGTTGTCAGGATGATACCTGAACAGAGTTGGCATCTCATAATCTGGTTAGCAGAAAACGTAGCCTACCACCCATCCTCGTCTCGGTGGAGTTTGAGCTTGCAAATCTCTTTCAACGAAGGTCCAAAGTATTTCTCGTCCTCCAAGCATATCGGCATTTCATGAGCGGCGCACTGGAGATGAGCTGAGGGAAGGTGTAAATATCAAACATGCATGAAGAATGGAATCAATGATCCCAACCTTCTATAATTATCTGATTATCCAAGTCAATTATAAGGTCGTCCGTATCTTTATCGAACAGCTCCTTTGGATTGTTTAGGTAGTATTGATCTATCGGAAGTCCCTCGGCAATGAAAACAGCGAGGGAATCACGTTTGCGTCGACCAGCTCTACCTGCTTGCTGACGCTGAAAGGGCACAGTATGTCTTCATTGTCAACATCCTAATGAGAGAAGACTTGAGAACTTACGAAACTTGCAAGGGTAACAGGAAAGCCCAGCATGAGTACAGCATCTAACGCACCAATATCTACTCCGAGCTCAAGAGCATTAGTAGCGATGAGTCCAAGAAGATGACCGGTGAACGCGTCGTGTTCTATTTGTCTACGTTCCTGCAAGTATTTCTTGGACGCAGCTCTTGCTGAACAAGGCAAAAGGTGCTCACCTCGGCGGAATATCCTAGGACATGCAGTAAGCTTAAGACTCATTGTGCACAATTAAGTACATCACTGGGACTGACCTCCTCGATATGCTTGCACTCGCTCTAAAATATCAAGGCGGCCTTCACCACTGAGTTCAGTCCGAAGCGTCTTCATAGCCTATGCATGCAGCTATCGTGAGCCATTGTCCTCGGTCAAGTCAATAAACCTGGAATTACCAGCTCGCAGACTTTCCGGATCTGTTCAAAGCAGAAGGTCATTCATCACAATCGATGCTCTAGAGTCTAACAACAGAAAACGAATTGCCTTGCAAAATAATATCACCCGAATACCCCGCTTCATCAAGAACCTCATCAAAGCAGTTGCCTCCATGATGCTACTCTGTCTTCCGAGTGCGGGCTGATGTTCATCTACGTACGGACTGCGCCAGATGAGATATTCCTTTATCCCAGTGGGCGCTCCGTCTTCCGTGACGACTTGGATTTGGGAGGAGTCGAGGCCGAAGATGTTGACCATATGGGCGAGAGGGTTAGCGATGGTTGCGCTGCATGAGACGAAGCGCGTGTGGTTGTCTGTTCGTGTTCGAGTAAGTACCCAATGTGAAAGTTAATCCAGCGAGACAGACGCACTTCCTATCGCGGCACAGACTCGACGTAAGCGGCGCATAATTTGAGCGACGTGACTGGAATATCGAAATGTTCATGACCAGGTGGAGGAATACTCAATGATATACATACCTTCCAAATGTTCCCGAATAGTAATGTAGTTCATCGACCACAAAGAGCTGGAGTGTGTGTGTCAGAGACAAGAAAATTTCGCGAACTAGGAATCACAACAAACTCTGAGGTTCTTCAAGAAACTAGGTTGAATGCGTTGATGTCAATGTACGGATCGAACGGGGGTGAGATGGTTCTTCAGCTCTCACCTTCTCCATAACTCTTCATGCGACAAGATTGCGGCATGGATCATGTCCTTTGATTTTGTGATCAGCGCTTTGACTTGGGGCAGGCTCGATGAACTCACAAAATTCGTGAATATGACCGAGGCAGAAGCGCGTATTCCTGGAAATCGATATCAGTCCCGTCGGAAAAGTTCTCACTTGTCAGAGATCGCGACCTGCTCGTTTTTCATTGGGAGTGTCTCCGTCGTAAGTAGATACCTATGTAGTAACAATCAGTATGTTGTTACTTGTAGTATACCGAGACTTTGAACAGTAATTACCTGCATATGCTCTAAATTAGGACATGAATTCAAGAGGTTTTCCATTGCGGTTCTTTGGTCCTGAGCAAGTGCCTAAGGTGAAGAAATCGCTCCAGGTTGATACCAAGTCTTGAGTTTTATATCGACACATACCTTCGTGGGGTAAACGAAGATAGCAGTCGCATGGGGATCTTTTTCCAGGAGCATCAGCAGAGGAACCTTGAAGGCGTCGATTTGTCAGTATCCATAAATTCAACAAGAAGAAAAAAAAGTTTACTTGGTAAATCACACTCTTTCCGGACGCCGTGCTCGTGGAGACGATGACATCCTTGCCAGAAGCTAGTGCACTAATTGCATTCGTCTGGTGAGAGTATAAAGACGTGATGTTCCTCGAGCTTTGCAAAGCCTTCTGAATGGACGGAGATAACGGTGGGTCCAGATTTCCTGAGTGGCAGGTAGCATTATCAGCTATAGGTAACCTTATGCTACGAAAGGACGAAAGAGGGGAATTGAACTCAACCTGTTTGACCTTCTCGAGCATCCACCGTCCGACGCTCGACAATCTGGTCTTTGTACCATTGTTGTTGCTGAAGCTCGATAAGAATGTCGTCTATCGACGCGCGGTCTTCTGAGTTTGGAATAGGCATATGTGCAGTCTCGTCGGTGGAAGGATTGTCTTTCAGGTGTGCTGGATCGATAGGTATATGCTCCCGGGCTGCAGCTTGTAATAGGGAGACTGGGTCGTCGGTAGAAGATACTGCTGCTAGCAATCTATCGATAAAATATATCGGACTTCGATGGATAAGTTGTAACGACATGAATCACTTACTCGTTCACGGCTTTGATGAACCTGTCGTTCCGTTTTTCTATGAGTTTCTTCGTGGCAGCAAGTGTCCGTGTCGCAGGTAGCAGATTTTCACTGTGGCTTGCTCTACCGATCGAAAGAACGTGAACAAACTTGGAAGTGTGGGCTGGAGTTGGATCTACCTAGTCCCTCCTGTGGTCCCTTTCCAGCTTTCAGCAAACTCGAGGAGCAACACATGATCTGTCTCCTTGCTCGGATCTCTTGAGAAGGCAGAGAAATCCGGTTCGTCCTTGCTAGACTTGGCAGTAGAATTCACTTGGATCTGATTGCGAGGAACATATGCGAATGTGATGATTTCAGGTAGCAAGGCTCTGGCTCGTGGTTGTCAGTGTTTGGTATTTTATTCGATGGAGAACGAATACTTTAGTTCTGCTACTTGCGACATATCCAGCGGCCTTTGATCGTTGGTGTCAGTTTGAAGGTGATTGCCTATTGTGATATGAACTCACTGTTTGGTTACGTTCTCAACTGAGGATCGAATCGAAGGAAAAGTCGTAGCTAGCTGTTTCCTTGATGTGATGAACGCTAACACGGTATTCAAAGCCTAGGACGCGTCGGAGTGGGCAGACAATGTATTTTGGTATGAGCCTACTTTGTATACCTGGTTATCTTATCGCTCAGCCTGAGGATTCGAAGAATTGGGAGTTGATTACCTTGAAGAGCTGGGTAGAGTCGTGTGCTCAGTGAGATTGATAAATGATTCAAAGGAGGCATACCGAGTGGAAATATTGAGGCCAATGATCAGAACTCTGCTCTGTCTCTTTGGGTTTTGGTTTTGTTTTGACAGTCCTGGGTTTCTTGGTCTTGCCATGGTCTATATCTTCTGAAGCGCGTTTTGTGATTGCCTTCTGTGAACTTGGTCCAGGATCACCGTTGGTCATGGTTGCGTTAAAGCGTTGAAGTGAGAGTATAAAAGACCTAATGCATTGATCCCTGATGTTATCCTTACAGCGAGAGACTTGTAATTGTACGAAAGAAGAAAGATAAAATGGTCTAATAGTGTAGAGGTTAGCACATGGGATTTTGATCAATTGACAATGGCTGCATAGATGTCTAAGATTTCCCATAACCCAGGTTCGAGTCCTGGTTAGACCTTTCGGAGCCGCTAGGATGGTTTTTTTTCCCTGCCTCTTCATAAACTCGTTACTCAAACGCAAGCGCCCGCCAAACTCTCTCCTTCAATCCGTCATGCTCAGAGCGTGTCTCGCGCAAAGTAGGTGACTTTGTTGCACTACCTATCGTTTGCTCACTCAAAACTTCAGACTCTCCCAAGTTCGCGTCACCGAGCACTTCCCTCCTTCACACTTCCGCCGTCTTGAACGCTGCCAAAACACAGAAGCTCACGAGCAAAGCCAAAGCCGAAATCAAAGCCGAAAAATGGCGACGCATCAATGCCAACAGACCCAGTCCTGTCTTTGGCACAAGGAAGGGCGAGGAATACAAGTGGGACAATTGCCACTTGGCCAAAATCCTCGTTAACGAGGCTGAACTGGCAACCCCTCCTCAAATGACTTCCGTGGAACTTCCTATCGGCACCGTGAATCTCCCTCCGCAGATGGGTTTCGGGGTGACGGATACGGACGCGGAAAAGCTCTTTCGCCAGCTCCCTGTGCTCTCGATGCATACGAAAGGCTCGGGTAGTGATATCCTGGGAGAGACTGTCGAGGTTTGGGGAGAGCGCGTGTTAGCAAGGGAGAATCTCAAAGCAAACACGTTTGCCAAGGTCCTTGATTTGAGGAATGCAAATGCGGATGGGATAGCGTATGAAAACAAGCGAAGGATCATCGTAGCCTTTTCTACCCCAGAGAATCCATTTGACCCTGGTCGTACAGAGGTTCAAGGTGCGTTTAATACTGCCTTTCAATTTGCGAGGCGCTGAGCAGTCTTTCGCTCTCTATAGCTGCCATTCTCACATACCGGATACGAAATCTAGGACAACATCTAGCAAAATTCCCTAGAGATTTGGGCAATCGTCTTGGGTTGAGGAAACTTGTTCATCATCGGGCGAAGATATTAAGGTATTTAAGGCGGAAGAGTAATGAACGTTATGAAACGTTGTTAGAACAGCTTGGTTTGGAGCGGGAGAGTGTAGAGGGAGAGTTGATTGTTTAGAACTCAATGGCATCCAATAATTCCTCCCCATGAAGACATCTTGCTCCTGATATTAGTCTGTTCGTACGGTAAGATCTACTGATACACTACACTATGCCCAAGTCCATCTCCGACTATGCAGCCTTCTTCGCCTCCTTCCTAGCCGCAATCTTATCCCTATCCCTCTTCTGAAACAACTTATGTCTATTCGCACTCGCCGCCGACTTCGCCAACGTCTTATTCATCGACTTGTTCTGCTCAATATACGACATATGCTGCGCCCCACTCAACGACGTCAACGAGCTCGTCATCCTCTGGGCCGCAGGGAACCTCGACGGCTGACCAAAGTCCTTCGACGTAATCGTCCCAGCCAAATCACCCTCCGAAGCTCGTACATCCGACCCAGGTTCGGCATCAGCCTCGTTGGCGATGAGGACAGATTGTAACAGCTCGATTTGTTCCTCCCGAGTGCGATAGACGAGGCCTGGAAAATCTTTCTGTCCGTCGAGGCTGGTGATCACTTTGAATGCGTAGCCTTGGTCGATGAGGAATTGTTGGCGTTTGGTGGAGTAGAACATTTCTTGGGTGTCTTTGGAGACGAGGGAGTAGAAGAAGGCGTTGAAACCTTCGTCGTTTCGACGTTTGGCACGGAGGATGCGTCCTAGACGTTGGGCTTCTTGTCTTCTGGAACCAAAGTGTGATGATATTTGGATTAGACATGTTGCTTCCGGCAAGTCGATAGAGGTGTCTCCGACCTGGAAAAAAAGCTTCTTTAGTCCTGATATAAGCCATAGATAATCACAGGCCTACTTTGGATAAAAATATGGTGCTGACGGCTGGGTCGTGTTGGAAATGTTGCAAAACCCGCATACGTTCAGTCTGCCCTGTACCCCATGAATATAAGGTTTTCCAAGTTTTTTGGCGTAGGCCTAGACGAAATAATATTCAATCCCTCTTGTGAGTTTCTTCAGAGGAAGTTTGACGTACCTCCAACGCGAACACGTTATCCGAAAAGACAATGATTTTATCGCCTCTTTCTTCATGGTAGTTGATCAAGTATTGACATGCCTGGAACTTGTTTGGATTCATGCAGTAGAGCAATGCACGTTTTCGAGACTGTTCGCGGAGATATTCATGATAGAATTCCGGGGTCATACTGCACCAAACTTCCGCGCACTAGGGTATGTAAGTATCGTAGTAAGGAATGAGAGCCAAGCAGTCCTACCTGGACATTGGCGATGTGGCCTTTGGCAGCAAGGTCCCTGATATTTGGGTTATTAGGAACCGAAACATTTAGAAAGAATATCAACTTACATCCAGTTTGCTTCGTAGAGCTTTGGCCCAATCATGTAATTCAAATCCGCAATCTTGTCGTCTTCACGAACCAATGTGGCTGGAAAGAAATACGGTCGTTAGATAAAGAACCATCTCGCTCGCCTTTCGACTCTCACCTGTAAGCCCGAGCTTCGAATGCGCCTTGATCGTGGTCACGACTCGACGGAACATCGCCGCAGGGACGACATGGACCTCGTCCAATAACAGGAACCCCATTCTCTTGAAGTCAAGAACTCCATCATCTTCTTCGACTCGTGTGATCGATTGTGAGTGTTGGCTACCATGGAATACGTCGATACTACGATACCACTTTCACCGGCAAACTTTTCTTTCTGGTCTGCGGTGAAGACTGCGATTTGACGATCGGTGATGTTTGACCATTGGAGGAATTGGGCTCTCCATTGATATACTGAAACGCTGGTAGAGAGGAGAGGGCTCGTTACAAGCAGGGGACGAGTAGATATGAGAATCTTACGATGATGTGCAGAGGACTAGACATGACTTCTTGATGGTGCATGCAGCGGTGATTCCGACAAGAGTCTTTCCGGCACCACAGGGGAGGACAATGATTCCGGAACGAGCACGACTGGGGGACGTAAGCATGCTGTAAGATGAAATCGATGGTAAACGCACCCATTCCCGAACATCTTACTAAGACTAGTCTCTTGATAAGGTCGAATAACAGTCGCTGGTTTCAGGTCAATATCCAGATTAGCATTGATAGTGTCGTTCCGGAAGTCATATTCCTCCAACATAGGACTGTTGAGCTCGTTACATCGCTTTTTGACATCCTGCCATGGATAACATTAACGACAGATGGGATGTTTTCAAAGGACAAACATACATCTATTTTGGTATCGTTGATTTCAAATGAATGAACATTCTCGTCGTCTTCGTCTATCTCATCTGAAAGTCTTCATCAGTACGGGTACTGGCGGTCAGGTCAGACAACGCACCTCCTTCGACACCAACAACTGACGTGAAGAGATCTGCATCATTAATTTTGCCTTTGTTCAAAATATCATTGCTCTTGTCACTCTCTTTGCTTGTCCCAGGAATGACCAGATTGCCTTTCACCGGAGCCTTGGACGTTGTGAAGGTGTTTCCTTTGATACTGTTGTCGGTCTGGACCGATATCACACGTGCATCCTGAATCACTCCATCTCGTAGCAACCTTTGCAGGATGTCAGGGTGGCTGGATTCAACAAAGTACTTGTTATGTTTTAGGACGAGCTTGACTTTGCCGTAGGTTTCGGTGCATTTTCGTATGTGGGATATAATGGGCTCCGGGACAGGAACCTTGCCACACAATTCGGACAACACTCAGATAGAATTTCACGACCTTGACATACCTTGGACAAACGGTTGAGAACCTTAGTGGCACATGTTAGCATAGGACTAGGCAGAGTGCAAAAGCACAGACTTCAATAATATCTTCCGTTTGTAGCCCAACGGACACAGCAGCGTACAGAGAGTAGGAGGTAAGTTTGTATTCGTGGATAAAGGCTGGTCTGTGGGATATAGAGGATATGTACCTGGAGAAAGAGCCGCCAGGTCAAGATAATACGCACCTGCTGACAGGTTCGCTGATTGCTGTCAGAAAATCTTGTGCTTGTTCAGCGATAGGAGAGAAAGCTTCGAGGATGATGAGACCGTCGTCCGGACTAATCCAAAGTGGGCGCGAGGAGTGATCGGGTTTGAGGTGCATGAAGGAGAAATCCTGATCCATGAATATGTGTGAGACGAGATTGCTTTGCTGCATTCTGTGGATCTCCAAAGGCGACTTGTCCGACGTTGCCAAGTCTTCAGCGCGTTTCGCCTCAGCAAGCTTGCGAGTGAGTGCGCTGAAGTTTATTGTGGCACTCCGAGGAACGAGAGAGTTGTCGTCGGGTGGTGAAGGAGGAATTACATCGTCTTCGTCCTGGATTTCTAGATACTCATCCTTGTCAGCGGTTCTCTTCGCCCGTTTCAAAGGCTGATAGCGAGAGGATCCTATATAGCATGAGTCAAGCATTTTCAGGTGTATTTATGCCAAAATACCTTCAGCAGGTCGTTTGTACGACATGGTAAAGGGAAGAGAGGGATTGACTCTCGGGCGCTTGTTTGCGATTTCTCATCCTTTCTCATCACGGGAAATACGTCACATGGGTCACATTCGTCACCGTGACGCGACGGTACGTTGTCCGTCAACTCCCAAGTTACAGCCTCGGTGTTGTTCTTTCTTCAGCTTTCAAGATGATTCCAATGTCCAACGCGAGCAGCTACGATCGCTTTAGACAGGCTCAGGCTCAGAGGCGCTCTATAGCTCGCTCGAATTCATCTCTGCTGGGGAGCATCAAAAATTTTGTCGCTGCACCATTCGCGAGACTTTTCACCGGGGCGACTAACGAGTTCGACGACCCCAATGATGTATCTGGGAAGCGACGGATAGTCCCTAATCAGAACGTCGACAATAACGACATTGTGGAGGATGGTCCGGCTCCTGCCAAACGTATGCGAGTCAGAAGTCCGGAGCCGCATTCTACACAGCGCTCATCTGGCTATCTCGACCCTCCTGGCTCTGTATTCAGTGTAAAACATCAAGAGACTTCTTTCGACAAATCTCCCAGTCGTTCAGCATCAATATCTCTGCCATCCACTACATTACCGGATTCTTCCCTCTATAATGC